ATTTTGTTTCATTACTTACTGATATCCAAAGATAAAACAATTATACTGAATTAACTTTGTATTACATTGATCTCTAAAATTTCAAAAGTGTACTTCTAAAATTAAATTATCTTTATATAAATATTTTTCTTTGTACTTTTAGATGAAACTGATGAAGAAGATGTACAAGCACGTAAACGACGTATGGCTGAAAAGGCTGCTACTGGCATATTGGAGGATGCAGAAGTAAGATCCTTTTAATTTTTATGTTAAAAAAGTATCTAATTTAAATAATGACCTCTATTGATTATTTTAGATGATCGAATCCATTGAAAATTTAGAGGATACTAAAGGACATTCAGTAAAGGAATGGGTTATGATGTTAGGACCACGAACGGAAATTTCGAATCGCTTTAAAAGCTTTCTTCGCACTCATACAAATTCCAAGGGACAATACATGTATAAAGAACGTATTCGCCATATGTGTGAGAGCAATCAGGTATTGAATTTCTTACATAATTCTAATGTAATTTAAGTTTGAATTTAAAATACTTTTATAGATTTTATTTTTTTCACAATATTTGGGATTATAGAATATTTTATTTTATAACTTATATAGCAATCTTTTATAGTTACACAAATAAGATTTATTTCTAATAAAATAAAATGTTTTTATTTTATTGTATATATTTATTTTTTTATTTAAGTTTTTATTTTATGGAGGTTTTTATGTTTATTTTAATAGTCCAGTTTCATAGTGGAATTTCCTATTCTCGCCAGTAAGGAACATGTTTTAGCTTATTTTTTACCAGAAGCGCCATATCAAATGCTCGAGATATTTGATGAAGTGGCGAAGGAATTAGTGCTTACGATTTTTCCCAGTTACGAGAGAGTCACGTCGGAGATTCACGTGAGAATATCAGAATTGCCGTTGATCGAAGAATTACGCACGTTTAGGTAAAAATATGCATCATCTAATTAATATTATTTTACTCAGCAATACAAATAGAATATGAAATGTCGCTTTTACTTTGTTACGACAGAAAACTCCACTTGAATCAATTGGTTCGAACTCTTGGAGTGGTAACAGCAACTACGGGAGTCCTGCCGCAATTGTCGGTGGTGAAGTACGACTGTACAAAATGCAACTACATTCTTGGACCGTTCGTTCAATCTCAAAACACAGAAGTTAAACCAGGCTCTTGTCCTGAATGTCAGAGTGCTGGTCCATTCACAGTAAGTCAAAGAATTCTACGTTTGATTGCTATAGTTAATTTTAAAATTATCATATTTACTTATGTACAATGTATCGCGTGTATATATATCAGATCAATATGGAACAAACTATATATAGAAATTATCAAAAAATAACGATACAAGAATCCCCGGGTAGAATACCTGCTGGCAGAATACCGCGCAGCAAAGATTGCATTCTGCTATCCGATCTATGTGATCGTTGCAAACCAGGGGACGAGATAGACGTCACAGCTATTTATACCAATAATTATGATGGTTCTTTGAACACTGAACAGGTGGGATTAAATTTTTGTTGCATATATTACGTTTTTTTATATTACATTTATCTATTCCACAAGTTTGTCTCAGAAGAATAACTTTTTACAGGAATAAGATTATATCTATTATATTTTACAGGGCTTCCCGGTATTTTCCACAGTTCTATTGGCCAATCATTTATTTGTCAAAGATTCGAAAGAAATCGTAGATTCGCTGACTGAAGAGGACATCTCGAGTATACTCGCTCTAAGTAAAGATCAGCGCATCGCGGATCGTATAGTCGCGAGTATCGCGCCTTCGATTTACGGCCATGAAAACATAAAGAGAGCCTTAGCACTGGCAATATTTGGTGGCGAGCCGAAGAATCCTGGTATTTATTTCTTCTTTGAATCATCCTAGTTCTCTATACATTTTTTCTTCTTATTTGCATCATATTGCAACATGCAGGTAACAAGCATAAAGTTCGTGGTGATATAAATGTCCTGCTGTGCGGAGATCCTGGCACCGCTAAGTCACAATTTTTGAAATACGTGGAGAAAGTGGCACCGAGAGTTGTCTTCACTACAGGTCAGGGTGCTTCGGCCGTTGGTTTGACTGCTTACGTTAAGAGATCACCTATCAACAGAGAATGGACCTTGGAAGCTGGGGCTTTGGTTCTCGCCGATCACGGAATATGCCTTATCGATGAATTCGATAAAGTATAAATTTATATAATTTATGCGACTAATAACTCATTGATAACATAAATATCTATAACTATCGTACTTTTTTATGTTATTAATAATGACTGTTATAAAGAGAGAAAAGGAGAGAGAAATTAATATTTATAATTTTCATATTAATATATAGACTATTTATATGTAGTATCAAAATTATGTTCTGTATAATTTATATTACAAAATTTGAATAGTTATTAGAAACGATAAATTTTTTTTAGATGAATGATCAGGACAGAACGTCTATCCATGAAGCTATGGAGCAACAGAGTATTTCTATTTCGAAGGCCGGTATCGTTACATCTCTTCATGCCAGATGCGCAGTGATAGCGGCGTCTAATCCCATCGGTGGTCGATATGATCCCAGTATGACCTTTGCGGAAAACGTATGTATTTTTAGCAATTTTTAATTTGCGATTGCAAAATTATAATTTGTAAATGAAATTGTAAAATGTAAAATATGCGATATATCATGGAAAAATAAAATTATAGATTTATAATATTATAAAATTAAAATCTTTCTTAAAGATTGTACATGTGGGATTAAATGATAATTACATATATATTATGTATTAAATTGCATATAGGTAGACTTATCGGAACCGATTCTCTCGCGATTTGATGTATTGTGTATAGTCAAAGATGAGGTTGATCCCATGCAAGATCGTCATCTGGCCAAATTTGTCGTAAATTCGCACATCAAACACCACCCGACAGATAATTCAGAGAGAACGGAGAGAACGCAAGCTGTAATATTGGATCCCGCCACACAAAATCTATGCATTCCCCAAGATCTTTTAAAAAAGTATATCGTTTACGCGAAGCAGAATGTACATCCGAAACTAACCAGCATCGATCAAGATAAAGTGGCGAAATTGTACAGCCAGTTGAGACAGGAAAGCTTGGTGAGTCAGTAAAACAAAGGAAAGAATATATCTATTTATATATAATCTTAGAAGATTAATAAAAAAATATTAAGTATTATTAAAAAAGATTTTGATGCATTGCAATATGATTGTTTTTGATGATCACATTTTAGGCGACTGGGAGTTTGCCAATCACCGTCCGCCATATAGAAAGCATTATTCGTATGGCGGAGGCTAGTGCCAAGATGCATTTGAGGGATCACGTTCAGGAAAGTGATATGAATCTGGCCATTAGGATGGTTCTCGATAGTTTCGTCGACACGCAGAAATATTCTGTTATGAAATCTATGCGTCAGGTATCTTTTCCTTTCTATTTATTCGTTTGCGCTTTCAATCTATGTTTATTTTTACTTTAACGCGTGCTCTTAATCTCATTACAGACGTTCCAGAAATACCTATCGTATAAGAAAGATCACAGTGAACTTTTGTATTACATACTGCGACAAATCACTTTAGACACTTTGGCATTTCAAAAAGCTTTGCACGGCGGACGTATCACGACCGTCGAGATCTCTGAGAAAGATCTGTTGGATCGAGTAATGCAAATTATATTATTATATTAAATTTGATACGTTCGCGTATCAAAATTAAGAAAGGAAAAGAAGGGGAAAGAATTTAACAAATATAATTATATCTAATTAGAAAATTATATCAAAATGATTTGGGCTAAAAAAACTTTATTTTGTCCTAATTAGTTTAAAAAAATAGTTTACATAATATTATCTTACATTATTTATAAAGGTTTACATGACAACTTTCATTCATTTTTTATATACCTATATAGGAAATTAAGCGCATTTTATACTAATATCAGTGTTTTGATTGCAGGCGAAACAAATTGACATACATAATTTATATCCGTTCTACGAGAGTGACATATTCAAGACGAATAATTTCATTTATGAGCGAAGAAGGAAAGTAATAATACAGACTTTGCCCGAAGATATTGAAGATTAATCCGGAGAAAAGCAGCATTGTATTTTTGCACATGTATTTAAATTATACAAAACAAAACAGCGATTTTTTTTCTATTCCAGACATGAAATTTTTATATCGATACATTAATGTTGAAATGTCTGACAAAGCGCTTATTAACATTTTTAATATCATTATTAAATATTATATAAATTTAATTATTGTGATTTGTCATTAAATATATTACGTTTCTAACAAATCAAATAGTTTTTTCTATCATATATCTATGTGCGTACACACAACAGTACAAAACTAATACATTCTATTTAAATATCAATTCTATACAACAACTAGTAATTGATTTCACATTTATATTTAATATAAAACATTTTAAAGCCCTTATGAAAGAATTGACAGTTGTTATTAACACAATATGAATTCTCGCAAATAATGTCAAAGAAAATGTTCTCATATAATAAGATATAGGCTATATCTGTTTCACACATGATATGTACGATGCATTATTCTTGTTCAACGATTTGATGAACAAAATTAAATGATCACACGTATATGTACTATATATCATAGAAAAATTAAATAGTAGAAATATAACAAATTATATGTCATAGAAAAGCTAAATAGCAGAAATATATATGAATCATCTTAACGTGATTAGATTACAAAATTAAAGAAAAAGAAAAAGATTAATTTATTATTGAAATTTTTATTTTAAGCAAATATCTACGTTAAAATAAAAATATTTGTCGTTGTACAAAAGGCATAAAGAATTTTGTCGCAAAATTCAACTTGCTCTTTCCTTTATAGAGTTATTTTCTTTAAAGGCAAAATGGCATTGTACTCAGATAGAACAATGATATTTTGTCAAAAGCCAGAGACAGTCGAAAAGAAATTTCTTCTCAACTTCTCACTTCATGCAATAGCATCTGTGTTATTTCTTTTTGTAGGAACCATGACTGCTGTTGCTACTACTAGTAGTACTGCTATTACTGCTACTAGACACACTATCGCTAGAATCCGATTCGCTATCCGAAGAACTACTACTACTACTACTACTACTACTAGAACTTATACTGCTATCGCTGCTGGAAGTGCTACAACTGCTGCTCCAATCGCTTGAATTGCTGGAATCCTCTTTTCTCATTTTTTTGCTGTTATGATGATACTTTACTTCTTTTTCTTGCTCTTGACTAAAGCATAACACAATAATATATTAAGATCCTTCTCAATTTGAATGTTTTTTAGTAAAACAGATGATACAGTAAATCATTTCATCTTCACTTAACATTAATAACAAGTAATAATTTATTGAACTTTTTGCAAGGTTTATCTTTTCTCTTTTTCTCTCCATGTTGAAGAAAAGAAAAAGAAAAGATAAGTGATGCAAAAAAAATTTAATTAAAAAGAACAGGTCTAATGTAATACAGAATTGTTGTATTTTGGTTATTTATTAATATTAAACAAAGATGACTAATTTACTATAAATCCTTTATAAATCCATCAGGAAGATAATATCCCTCTGTGTCAATTATATCTTTGTTGGAAAACGTTCTTTAGCCTAACTATAGACGTTATCTCATATCAAGATCAAAATTAAAAAAAAATATCTGATATACTCTCTTGATTTATATATCCTTCATGAAGAACAAACATTGCTTAAAATAATCTAGTTTACTAAATAAGTTGAGATATATTTTCTTGTTCCAAAGTCTAAAGGAAATATATTAGATGTGTGACTCAATAAGAAAAGTCCTGCATGTGTATATATATATATATATA